TTGTCGGTGAATACACAACACACGTGACCTAATCCACTTGCCATTCTTTGAATGACTGGTTGTGTGGAGAGTAGGAAGGTGGTGAGGAGAAGCGGAGGGAACAAATCCCAGGATAGATCAGAGTTGTTCTTGTCTCTCTATGATCTCCTGAGATCTGGGACTAAAAGCCTTCACTGGGCGGCTTGCTTAACTGGCTTCCGCACACAAGGCGGGATGGGTGGTATACAACGAAGAACAGGTCCCAGGTGAGTGGGGCAAGGGCTCAGATGTTAGAGGTTGCAGTACAAACTGGCTCTTATGTGGAGGAAAAAAGTGAAAAGGATTTTAAACAATTGGGCTTTCACTTCCCGTAAACAGTTACAGTCTTGGAAAGGGGGGTGGGGACGGTCAGGATGAGTCAGCGTTGACTCAATGGCAGTGAGTTTGGCGCTTGGATTTAAGTTTGTAAAAAATGTCAAGTAATCGAGCATGAGTACAGCACAGAATAAGAAAATGCTAAGGACGGCCGTGGATAAAGAAATTCCTTTTGATGCACCAATTTAAAAGCACAAAAAAAGGAAGTTTATTCTCCAAATCTCCGTGAGCATCTTCTGGAGGTCGCTCTCTGGGTCAGAGATGATAATACGTTTAGGCAGACCCACTGCCAGTGAGCAGATCTGACTCACAGTGACCCTACGGAACAGGGTACAGGGCTCCCCAGGCTGCCACCTGGACGGAAAAGCAGTAAAGCTTCCCCTGTGGACCAGCGGGTGGGTTCAAATCACCATCCTTCCGGTTAGTGGTTGAGCCAGGGCCCCACCACAGCTCTTTAATGACAAGTTTAGTACCCAGGGCATTCGCTGTGTGATGGTAAGCTTCCAGGGTGAGGCTCCCACAGGACAAGAATTACAAACGGTTTTGTTTTGTTTTCTCTCTTATGAATTGGAATTCCAGAGGAAGAAGTGAGGTTCCAAACAAAACTGCTTGCCTACCAACAAGAATAAAAACTCACTGCCATCACGTCACGATGCCAACCCATAGCAGGCCTCAAGGGCAGCGGAGAGCCGCCCGTGTGAAGCTCCCGAGACCGTCACTGGACAGGGGTGGAAACCCATCTTTCCTCTGCAGGGCTGGCTGGTGATTTCCAACTGCTGGCCTTTCCGGTAGCAGCCCAACACCTAACCACTCCGCCACCAGGGCTCCGACCAGTAGGAACACAGCCATGAAAGCGAAAATGATTGTTATGTGGAACTATACACTCATCTCCTTTCCTATCTTGAACGCTTACACTCATCCGTCTTTCAAGGACTCTTCCACAAACTCATCCCTGGCCCAGACTGGCCATTCATCTTTCCCTGGGCAGATTCCCAAAGCATTGCATCCCCATCTCTTTTGTAGTAATACTGATGCATTATATGAATATTGCAACTCCTTTCTTGGAGGACATCATATAATGCTTTGCACATAATAGGCCTCAATAACTATTTGCCAAATGACTAACTGGATAAAACCTGCTGAAGCACCTGGCCCTGATAAAACACAGAAGCCACAGTCACTGGGCACGACGAATTTAAAGGGAAGTGATATGTGTGCACGACACCCTGCAACTTCCTCTCTCTCCTCCCCCACCCAGCGCCAGCTACTGCTATGCCCAGAAAGAAGCCAAGGCAGGAAATGCAACTAGAAATGACTCAAAACAGAAATATGCACAGGCAGTACTTTCTTAAGGGAACTGATTTCCAGTGGGAATCAGAGAAGGGGATCAACTCAGGCTGAGGGCCCAGTAACTCTGCCTTTTCTAACTGCATAATCTACATAGAGTCGGAGGGACTCTACCACCGGGCATGCTATTGCTTCCTCTCCTAGGACGGATGGCTGGGCTCTGACTAATGGTGCCAACACACAGGGCGAGTTTCAAAATGTACAAGTGTTTCACCAGACGGAGTTGGTCACTGTTTTTTATTTCCTACATGCTTAACTTTAAAAGCAGTCCACAGTCATGCAGAACCACACAGCATTTCAGATACCTCTGCCATACCCTAATTTTTGTGGGCAGCGAATGCTGATTCTAAAATGCTGTGGGTGAGGGGGGGGGGCAGGGGCACAACAGGACCAAGATGGGGCATTTCCTACTAAGAATGGGAGACAAAGTCACATATGTCAATCTGCCAAGACCATGATACACACACAATGGCCTATAGAAAGAACTTGGTGGACAAGTGTGGGGGGAGGTCAGATGCACAGGCATTCCCTCCCCTGAAGGCAATCAGTTGCCAGACTGCTGTCTCATCCCACCACAGGTGGGCCTGCTCCCTGCCTCTGGGGACAATGGACAGGCTCCTGTAGAAGGAGTTTTCACCCTACTAATAATGATTCCTATGGAGACCCAGAGACCACCCCCTAGACCACCCTCTCATTGCTGTGTAACCTATAGTGCAGCCCCTCCCTGTGACGTATGTCTTTACCTGTAATAGTGGGCGGGCATGCCCCCAAAAGGTATATAGGCATGGGTCAGCAATAGAGAGCTCTCTGACTCTGAGCTCCTTGCTCCTCACTCCCTGGTCACTCCCCTCTCTTGTTCCCTTACCCTCCTTCCGTTCCCTCTCTCCACGTGGACCACCAAGCTGGGCTGAGGTGAGCAATGCTACCATGTAATTTGTCTGACTGTATTATTGTAATACCTCTCATGCTCTTGATGACTTTAATATAATACTTATATATCTCAACCGTACAATTGTGCATTACTGAATCCGAGTAGTAGTAATAGTAGTAGCAGCGGTGGGGGCTGGCCCCCCCTGGCCCCCCCCTCCCCCAAGCCACTTTTAATACTACAGACAAGACTAGCAGTAAAAGCATATAAAGACGTTGTCTCGAGCAGTCAAGGTGACAGTGAGAGGCCTCATAAAGCACAACAGGGCTGATGCTAGAATGATCCAAAGAGCCTACATTACTCATGACATCAAAAGCCTAACATCATTACAATCTTCAACAGCAGCAATGTCCCGTGGTTTCAGAGTTATCTGAAATTAGAACAGACATCACCTGATCAAAGAATAATAATATAACTCTTTCTAATACACTTCTGCTGTTTTATTGCACCTGTCCCTATGCCCACACCTTCGGATGATCCTGAGGAAGCACCCACCTTAGGCCTATCCACATGGCTCCATACCCTGTCTCAGTTCTAGGGATGGCACCCAAAGCAGGCATGGTCATCTCCCTGGTTACGGTGAGTCGTCAAGGCGTGTGGACCTCAAGCCAGCCTAGAGACGCAGTCAACCCTGGGCTCTTTCCATGGGAACCAGTGAGTTAGGAGAACAAAGGCCATATGCCACACAAACAAACCAAACAAACACAAACACCTGATGGACAGGACCTGCCAGAAGTAAGGGCAATAGTCAGGGAAGTCCAATCTAGAGAGAGAGAGACGTCCTATAGACAATGCTCCAGTCGTATATTCTGCTGGAAGCAAAACATCTTTTGTGATTTTTCAGTCACTCCAGGCCAGAAGTCCCATTTTCTAATTCTTAAGCCACCAGGCTGACCTGCAATCACCTGCAACCCAAAGCGTCTGTCTCGAGGGCCACACCCTCCACTAGAACTTGCGTTAGCATCAGTAAAGCACTTCGCCGCGGATCCGGCCGCGTCGATGGAATCATCTTGGTGTCAAGATAATGGGGAAACGGTACAGGAGTGAGTGTCGTCATGGGAACATCTAGTGAGCTGTTGCGCTGTCTGGGTGCCTCGTGTCGCCCTTGTTATTGCTGCTCATTGCCATCGCGTGGTTTCCGACCGAGCGGCCCAGTGTCCAACACACCAAGCACGGCTCCGCCCTGCACCCGCCTCACAGCCACGGCCGTGGCCCAGCCGTGCGCTTGCCCTGACCTCTGCAGAGCCACTCCACTGGGGGTCTTCCTTGTTTTTTGGTGACCCTCTCCTTTCCCAAACATGAGGTATCCCCCTTTCCAGGAGCGGGTCCCTCTGAATAACAGGTCCGAAGTACAGAGAGGAGGTCTTGCTGGGAGCACCTGGCTGCACTTCTTGCAAGACAACTTTGCTAATTCTTCTGGAAGTCCACGGTACTGTCAATATGCTTCATCAATATTGTCCCTCAAAGGCATCTCTTCTCTGATCGTCCTTATTCAGTCTCCAATTTTCACATGGATGAGGCAATTAAAAAAACCACAGCTTAAGTCCATTGGTACCTTAGTCCTCAAAGTGAAATCTTCACTCTTCAATACATTAGAGAGGACTTTGGCAGCAGAAATGCCCAATACAATAAATGTGTCTTTTCATTTCTTGACTCCTGCTTCTGTGAGCAGTGGCTGAAATGCTTGACTTGAGTCTTTTCTCCATCGACCAGATGCTCATTGGTCTAGTGTGCGGATTTCTGTTGTCCTTCCATCGAGGTATAATCCACACAATGAAGTCTGCAGTCTTCTTTGTCCTCACAAGTGTTTCCAGTCCTCCTCACTTTCAGCAAGCACGCTTTGTCATCTGCGTGTCTAAGTTGCGATGAGCTTTCCTCCAATCGTGAAGCCGAGTCCCTCTCGTACAGTCCAGCTTCTCAGAGTATTGCGCAGCGTGTACACCGAGTAAGTACGGTGATGGCATACAACAGTGACACTCATCTCTCCTGAGTGCACACCCACCGCCGTCTATATAGAGGTTCTCCGCGGACACAACGAATGTTCGGTAATTTCTACTCTCTGGAATGTGAAGTTGTTACTTCACAAAATTAAATGCTTCTGTAGAGTCAATTTTCTAATATTAGACTACAATTATTACTTGACCCCCATTCTAAGAAATTCCTGAGACCTTTGCATGCAGAGAGAAAGGGAACCTATGCGTTTCTATCATAACACCCAAGAAGCCTACAGGAGAAAGATATTTTAGGAAATATGGCGGCAGGGTGTGCCAAGTGCCTGTTTCACCACTGGGATATGTGTTATTAGCTAGCTTCTCAGTGTGAACACACGGCAAAATGAAACCCGGGGTTAAAATCCAATGACATCACTTACACGCCACTCAGAACGTTGATGGATTGTGTCTTTGCTCCATAGCCAGTCTCCTTTAAATTGGCAACGATCCCTAACACATCGATACTGGAACCTTTAGAGCCAAAGTTCTTATCACTGTACATTATCATGTGGGCATTGGAAAAATCCTGTGGCACAAAAGAAACATAATCCAAGGTTAGATACTCATTATCAAAAACCTCCAGTATTAAGCCCCTAGCTTTTCTTTAACTTACACCTAAGATAGGCCGTAGAGACTGAAGTTCTCCATTGTAGCCTCCCCACTCCTTCCAGTCCTGGTATTCTCCTTCTTCTAGCAGATACTGATGACCCGCGAATCCAGGCTTCTCGTAGGCAACCCAACTGCAACCGGAGAAAAGGAAGGAGTCAAAGTCTCCAACAGGGTGAGCCTTCTTCCTGTGCATTCATCAGTTTCATTAGCAGATACCAAAGGTCAGACATGAATTCACACGTTCAGACCACTGGGGTTCTTCTCTAAAATCTAAGAAGGTACGAGAAACACCAGTCTCTGAAGGGGGGCATGTATATGTACATTTAATAAGAAGTGATGGAAAAGAACTTCAGCAAGTCGGATCGATGCACTTACTTCAAACAGTAATTAAATAGTGCGTATTTTTGTCTACTTATAACAAGATTAATCTCAGCATACTCTTCTAAAGGAAAGGCGTTCAAAGATTTATAAAATAGATGACCTGGGCATGCTAAGAGAAAGTGGCCATTTACTAATGAACAATCCAAACCAGCCGCTTTCAGCCTGGTCCCAACGTGCTGAGCAGGACCTGGCTGTCGTCTCTAGTGGTTGGTGACCTGCACGCATCTACTCACATGCCTCTCAGCACTTTCATCGACCCCACTGATGTAAGCGGCAAACCATCATCTCCGGTCATTCCTCCCGCTTCGCCTCCTTCTGTGAGGAAGCTGTACATCTCTGTTTCCAGTTCCAGACATCTCCCTTCAAAGGAAGGCTTTTCATAGACAACCACCTACAACAGAAAGGAGCCACGCCAGCGGTTTGTCCGAGGCTAATTAAGTCAGTCACTTAAAACCACCAAGTTCTGGAACCTAAATATAAATGTTGTGAACTTATTTTTGTAATTGACTAAATAACATCTCAGAGAAAATAAATAAATCTGGCTCTTTTAAAAGCTACTGTGGTATAGTCCAAAGCCAATGTTCATAAAACACGTTTCTAGATATTTTTTGTACTATGTCTAGAGCTGATATTTAGGATTTTGTCTAGGCAAAAGTAAGTAACCAGAGGGTCCTGAAGCGGCCTGAAACAGGAAATGAACTAGTGTCTGACACAGATGGGAAGTGCAGGGATAGCAAAAAGGGCATTTAGGAGGAGGAGGATGTTTTTCTAGAAAAGAAAAGAAAAACCAATTAAAAATGTCCTGGCTAATTGACAGGTAGCAACAGACCCTACAGTTAGTAACTCCAACCACAAATTATGAACGGAGTCCCACACTGAGCCTTTTGAGCCATGGCAACGCATCCTGTTCGCGGTATTGACTGCCTGGCCGGTGGCACCTAGCTTGGGGTCTGCAGTGATGTCTGATGGAGGCTGCTACGTGAAGTCGGATGGACTCTATGGCAGCGGTCTGGTCCATGCAAAGTCACGAGAGCTTTACAGGGATAACGACGGGGGTGGGACTCAAACAAAACAGCTTATTTTTTCCTTTTACCTTTGGATCCGTAGGGAATTCAACTTTGCGGCCACCCTGAAAAGTAAAATAGCATAGGAAGAAAGTAAGTTCCCATTGATAAATCACCATTCTATCTTACCTACAACAGCTGGTGGGCGGTAAGCCATTGAGCTCAGAGGGAAATTACACTCAGGTTTGTGTGACCTCTGTGAGATGGTTTTCACCGGATGAACAATGCTGATGGGAGGCTGGTGGCATCCAACTGGGAGTCTCAGCGTCCTCTGACCTGCTTCATTTTTTGTTTTACTTTTATAATTCGGAAAATTTCTCATAAAAATCCATATTTCTCAACTGGACACCCCCTTACTGAAGGGTTGAGGGGAGGAGATGAGCCAATCAAGGTGCAGGGCAGCAACGATGAAACATATAACTTTCCTCTAGTTCTTAAATGCTTCCTCCCCCCCTCGCACACTATCATGATCCCAATTCTGCCTTGCAAATCTGGCTGGACCAGAGGATGTACATTGTACAGATAGCAACTGGAAACACAGGGAATGCAGGATAGATGACTCCTTCAGGACCAGTGGTGAGAGGGGCGATGCCTGGAGGGTGAAGGGAATGCGGGGTAGAAGGGGGAAACCAATTACAAGAATCTAGGTATTGCTTCCTCCCTGGGGGATGGACAGCAGAAAAGAGGGCGGAGGGAGACGGTGGACAGTGTAACTTATGACAAAACTATAACAATTTATGAATTATGAAGGGTTCATGAGGGAGGGGGGAGAGGGGAGGGAGGGGGGAAATGAACAACTGATATTAAGGGCTAAAGTAGAAAGCAAATGTTTTGAGAATGATGAGGGCAACAAATGTACATATGTGCTCGACACATGGATGTATGTATGGATTGTGATAAGAATTGTATGAGCCCCCAATAAAATAATTTTTAAAAAATCCGCATTTCTGGTTTCTCTTGACAAACGATCAAAGATCTGCCACCATTGTACCAAACCATCCGGAAGGGCACTTTCTGACCTGCACACCAGGCCCCGCCGTGGGGGTGGACACAAACTCTGGTTCCCAGTCAGCCTCACTCATCCCATGTTCTGCTCAGACCCCGGGGGCATTTGATTTTGCAACCTGCAGCCTACAAACCTGTTAAAGTTCACCCACGGTCACAATAAGATCTAGAGTGTTCTTGGAATACTTAGATAAACTATCTGAGGAGCTTGGAAATATTCCAAGGGATGAGACCATAAGGAGTTGTCCTAAAAAGATTCTATCATAAAACTCTGTTTATCCCCCTGCCCCTCCCAAGAAAAACTCACTAAAACTAAACCATAAAAATAGGATTATATGGAAATATTAAACAGGTCAAGAGTTAAAATTATCGGTGGGAAAATCAGAAGGCTATTTCCCCCAATATATCTTTAACAGCATTAGAACAGGTACAGTCACAAGGTGCTCAAATCCCCACCCCCACCCCACCGGGAGCCCTAATTGTAACGGAGTGTGGCCCGCACTGTCAGCAAGCAGTGCCCACACAGGTTAAGTTCCCCCTTTAGAAGCAGTCTTTTCCCAAGTGCCATAAACTTAATGGCTACATCAGTAAAAACCACGTTCAGAACCCACGACAAGGCTGACATACACTTGCTAACAAACCTTTGTTTTTTGAAAGTGGATTTAATTTTAGAGGGAAGAAATCTAAAAATAAGTTACATGAACACCAGCAAATTTAGGTCAAGTCGAGATAAAAAGCATGCCGCCTTCCTGATTTGCTTCCAACCAGCTCTGAAGGCAACCGAACAGTGCCGTTTGACAAGCTGTTTGTAGTAGCAGCTACTTCCTTCCTGCCTTGTACATGTGGTGAGCAGGCCCGGCCCTTCCCCACCCCTCCCACTCACCCTGGGAAGTGTCAACAGTGAACACTAAGGCTCAGGGCTGCCAAACCCAGAGGCTTGGCGATGTGCTTCTGAAAAGCCAACCACTGAGGTGATGGATTTCCTCCCCCTTTTCTCCGTGAGTCTTTAATTCTTCACTTACTAAACCTACGCGGGGCTGAAGCTTTGTGCGCACACCTGTCTCCTTAAGGTGGCACCTGTCTTGGAGGCAAAGGGCAGTGGCTTATCTGCCCTGGGATCAGTACCAGCTACTCTTTGAGGTGTCCACCCAGCAGGAGGTCCCACCTACGATTCAGGTTTGGTTTTGAGCAGTCAGCTGTGCTGCTCCACAGGCATACACAGCGTGGTTTCGTTTTTACCATCTTGAGAGGCCGCATGGATCCGATGTACGCTTCTTCGGTGCCCCAGAAGGATAAGTCGGGGTATTCGCCAGGCTCCAGGATGAAAGGGCTGCCTTGGAACCCGGGGTCTTCGTAGATGAGCCACCTAAATAAACATCCAGGAGGAAAGAAATGGAGACGACTCATCACTTCCTTCAGTGTCTGCTCCTCTCTGGTACCCAGGCCCTCTGACTATACTGGGACGCACAGGCCAGGATGTGGTGGGCATGATGTATGGTTAGTCTCGGTACTAGAGTGATGTTGCACAAAACAGGAATAAGCCACCATCTGCCTTTCTACTTGATTTTCTACTTTTCCCTTTGGTTGGCTTTGTCTACTTGTTTACTGTGTCATTAATGGAGTCTAAGTGGAAAAGTCTGCCTTTCTTCCAGGTCATTAATGTATTCATTAAAGCAGTTTCCTCAAGGTGACTTCCTCCCCTCCATACGGAGCCCATGTTCCAGCACAGATTGTACTCAGTTTTCAATGGCTGTGATCTTAGTACACTGTGTGTATTGAGCGGTCCTCACTAGGAAACCTTAAGCTTTGCTTTCAAAAGGTCAACGCCTCATTTGTAATCAAAGAATAGGGTGTTCCACCTAATCACTTGTCACAGTGTTAAAAAAAAAAGTAATAAAATAATAAAAAAACAGAGCCAGCATCTACACAGTACCCGTAAAGAATGCCACCCAGAATTTCACCTGGATCCACCACAGTGTTGTGGGGAAGGAAAGTTACTCTCCCTACTTTATAGACTAAGCAAAGTACAGCGCCCAAACCACCCAGCTGGAAGCACACACCAGGGCAGGCTCCTCATGATGGGGATGGCAGGTCTATCACGGCGAGCTCACCCACAGAGTTCTCTCTTTTCAGAGTGAGTCAGGACCACCACTTCCAGCCTTAAGGTACGATGGTGTGTCTGGGCCTTGAAAGGTCTGTCAGGACGCTTGTTTCCAGGCTACAGAGCTTTCTGGGTTTTTTAGCTGTCACTTCTGCTGTGGTCAAAGGTCCCACAAAGCTGCTCCCAACGCCCCCACAACCACTGTGCTAGTAGGTGTCACGGAGACGGTTCTGACTCATACAACAGAACAAAACACTGCCTGGTCCCGCACCGTCCTCACAATTGTCCCGTTATTATAGACACTGTCAGTCCACGCCGTCAAAGGTCTTCCTCTTTTTTGCGCATCATGATGTCCTCCTTTGGAGCTAACCTCTCAATGACGTGACCATCGTGCAAGGGACAAGTCTCCCCATCCTTGCTCCTGAGCAGCATTCTAGTTTTATTTCCTCCAAGAAAGATTTGTCTGCTCTTCGGCAGTCCATGGCACTTTTACTCTTCTTCACCAACACCAGAATCCAAGTGCATCAGTTTTCCTTACCCATTGTCCAGATTCCGTGTATATATATGAGGCAACGGAAAATACTCTTTCGTGGATCAGGCGTATCTTCGTCTCCAAAGTGGCATCTTTGCTCTTGAACACTTAAAAGAGGGCTTGTGTGGCAGGTTTGTGTCAATGCAGTAGGTCCGGTTTCCAGACTGCTGTTTTCAGGAGCACATATTGTGGATCCAAGAAAAATGAAATCCCGGACAACTTCAATAGCATTGCTTCCGGCATCATAGCAACATGCAAGCCACCAGACTACAACCACTGATCATGCCTCTTAGAACTATCTCTAAAGACGGTGCAAAGCTTCCTTATAAATTCCTTAGTTCCGGTGAGGTTCTGGGAAGGTGAGGTTGGTGGAGAAATGACTTGCACAGTAAGGAGATGTTAACGTACCCCTTTGTAAACAAGTACAGGACCCTTGGTGATTAATGCCTTACTGTCTCCAGTGCTTTGTTAGTCTTGCTAGAACTGCCCGCATTGTCCTCTACCACGTCCCCAGGACACTGCTGGACGGCTGCAAACACAACCTTTCAGTAGCAAAATGGGTGTGAGGGCTTCTCTCGTGTTCCTCATTTTGAGCCAAGGACACATGCTGGGTGATATTTTTGTTAAAGATCCCCTATAGAAATCCGTAACTTCTAAAGCCAACTATACAGGGCGTAACAACTGGAGTCCTACCAAAAATATGTGAGCACAGGCAAAGAAAAGGAATGGGGGGGGAGGGGCTGTGGGGGGCGCATGGATGAGCCTGCTGAATGTGCCCCCGATGCTGGGAGCTGGCTGCAGGAGCTGAGGGAAAGGATCAGGCGGAGACAGGAGGGAGGGGAGAAGGTGCTGGGAAGGTTCCCTTTCTTCATCTGGGTGATGCTGACACATGGCTCACTCTGTCACCTGCACTCCGGGTGGCCAGTTCGGACGGTGCGTTGCGTGTACCTTATCTTAGAGATGTTATACTTCAACAACAAATGAAGGAAATAAAGAGGCTTACCTCTTAAATATCATCTCTACCCTTAAACCCCAAGGAAACGGGCAAACTTGGGGGTGACTTTAAACTTCCTTACACTTTAAGCAGGGAAATGGACGGTGCAATGCATGCTCTCTGGGGCACAAAGTCATCCCGGCAGGCTGTACTTGAAGGGGACTTTGTGCTCTACCACAAGAATGGCAGCTCGGTCATAAGTGGTCCGGCCGGGCTAACGACTTGAGGGCCCCGAGGCCTGATGTCTTCACAAGTGAGCAGGCTGACCATGTCTCACGCAGGAGGGAAGGTGGCTCCTGACAAGGGGGCGGGAGATGGAGAGGATGCTGACAGAGGTACCCTTCCCATGAAATCTCTCCTGCTCGGATTTGAGTTCTGAGGGGCTCTTTTGTTGAAGGCCATTAAGACTCTCAGCCTTGAAACAGCTGAAGTCACGACCCAGGTGTCAATATCTGCTATTTGCTTCTGCGGCTTGACATTGAGACTAAGAAGAAGAACAAGGATGTATGTGAGTTCTGGGAAATCAGGATGGTTAATTTTCTCAAGGATGCTTGGTTTGGAAAAA